GAAAACAAACAGTACTTTTCGAATCATTCATGTTCTTCCATTAATATTTTTCTCTAACAGTGCTGGTAGTGGAGTTACGACTCGTTACACTTACTTGGTCCACTCTGTAGACAGAGCTCTTGAAGTCATTCAAACTTTATCATTCATTTTCTTTCATTTCACTCTTGAATATCTTCTTCCACACGCTTTCTCGAATATAATACCTAATCAAGTAAACCATTACCGGAAATGAAGTAGCACCTTCTCCGCGAGATTTACGTTTCATCGGGAGTCAGTAAACGAACAAAGTCCTTTGGGTTCGGAAATAAAAAGCGGTTTGAGCTCTCTGCACCTCGCTATTTCTCCCGAGCTTTCCGTTTCTCTGTTTCTAGGCCTTTTATCCATCGAGATGGAACAAGATCTTTTTGCGTGAATAGAAGATAGACACGATTTGCAAGGACGATCGGCAACTGACCAAGCCTGAAAAGAATCCAAAGGGCGGAAGCAGACGCGCGTATTTACGCGGGCTGATAGATTCCACGCAGAGTATCGGTTGGTACGCAGCGCGACTAGAAGAGTTATTCACCCCGAATCGATCCGGCCGATTGTCGAGCCGATGAAAGCCGCCCTAAGTAGTTAATTGGTCTGCTGCCCCATACAGATACCCACCACTCTTGTCCTCGTTCACGTTCACGTTCACGTTCCCGTTGCCATTCTCATTCTCGTTTCCTCTCCGCGAGGAGCAATAACTGATAATTAATCCCTACCGCTGGCATCGCGCATTAATCGGATCACGGAAACGGAAGAACGCATTCTTTTCGTCTGCTCGCTTTCTTCGATGCTGGATTAGACGAGACGGGGTCGCGAATCAAAGCGCGGCGGCGTTAACGAGACGTGTCAACGATTGTACTTGTACACAACCGATGAAACGGGTGGAACGACCTTAAGATAATTGTTTCGAGATAGTCGCGTTCGAAAGCATCATTGGAAACTTTTGTACAAGTATAATCTTACTGCTCTTACACACGTTTATAACATATCGAAACGTATTTTACGGACTATACGACGCACCTTAATTTTTAAGCAATTTAAAAAAAAACTAACATTGTTGTTATTAGATTGCCTTATTGGCCATTTTTTTAAAACTGGCGGGAATTTTCAATCAAGCACAAGACATTTTTATATTAATTTTGAGTATAAGACGCACCTGAATTTTGGCGGCAATTTTACGAAGAAAAATAATTACATTCATAATACTCGAGAAATGATTGTGACAACAACGCTAATTGTTACCGCACAACTCCTCTACATTCACTTTCAGGTTTTAACGAATTATATCATAGTAACGGCATGATCAATGATCGTTATTTTTTGTTTTTAAATGATTTATAATTTCAGTTCTTATAATATATAAAATTTTTAGCAGTTCCATCATTGCATTTTGATTTAAATTGAACAAATTCACGTGAAGATCTGTATGTTCAATAAGAGTCTGTGTTAAAATCATAAAATTGTGATATCGTTTTTCATACAACTGAGGTGGTCAATTTGAGTCGAAATAGGTTTATATGATTGTTGTGGTCAAAAATTGTTATTTTCGTTTAAATAGTTTATAATTTCGGTTTTTATGACATATCAAACTTTTCACAATTTCCTAAATTGCAATTTAATTTAAATTGACAAAATTTACAGTGAAAATTTCCATGTTCCATAAGAACCTATGTAAAATTTACAAAATTTTTTATATTGTTTTTCATAAAACTGCTCACATGATGGACATTTAATCAAAAAACAATCAAGTGAAGTTTCATTATAATTCAGCTTCAAATAAATCAACGGAGCAATTATCTCAAAGAGGGAAACCACATTAGGAGGTCAAAATACAAAGTATTTGTCGTGATTTTAAAATGAAAATATTTTAGGTATATTTTAAAGTACATTTAGTAATTTTTTAAATTCATTTTACATAGAAATCTGTGAGATTGGAATTCTGGAGTTCACAATTGTTATCTAAAATCAATCAAATATTTTTTTTTTTTTACATTAGTAACATATCTTCTAAGAATATGAATTAAGCTTTGGCCAAGAAAGTTGGAAATTTAATTTTTTAGACGTATTTAACTTTCACGTTTCAAGCATCAATTTTCACCATTCTTTCGTGCAGCTTTTTGCAATAAAAAACATACTTGAAACAACGATATCATTCCAATTATTCAATTTATATTCAAAATATTAAAATAAAGTAAACGTGTATAAAGTTTAAACAGGATCGGTCAAGTAGTTTTTGAATTGTCATTTCTACGAATTGGAAAAATATTATTTAAAAAAGAAACGCCATATCACAAAGATTTCTGTGTGAAATGAATTGAAAATATGACCGAATGTAATTCAAAACGTATCTTAAATATTTTCAATGTTATTAGAACATTACGTGAATTCTTCTCTGTAAAAAAAAAGGAACGCAAGAAACACTATACTTGGACTTCTAATGTGGTCTCCCCGTGCAACTACCCTCATCTTCACAAACAAAGCGAAGGGTCTTCACAAAGAGGTTCTCAGATTTTATTTGTTTAATAAAACACAAATTATAGAGCATATTAAGTGAAGAAATTAGTTCTGTGCCTTTCTGAGATAAACTTCCTATTTATTAATAAAGAACAATATAATTGTAAAACCAAATGCCAAAACTGTCTATGTATATGTTTCATTAGTATGAAAGTTGTTATCCGAATGTAATAAAATAACGGGTATGTATGTCCGTTTTAATTAGAGTTATGAATAATTAAATATGAAGGCAGAGAAATACATTTGCAATCAATAGAAGAACAACGATAAGCAAAACTTGTACATTTAAGTAATTGTAGTGGTCATCAAGTTGAAATATGTAATTGCTACAATTAATATAAGCACTTTTTGTAATTTATATAATATATTAATACATATTTATATTAAAATTTTAACTTCAGATGACGTAAATACAGTTCAAAAATAAATTAAGAATAAATTAGAAATCGTTTAGACAAATCATAATTAATGATTTTCGAATTAGACAGTTGTATATTGTAGAGTTCCCTTACACCTTGACAATTATTTTCAAGCATACAACCGTATAAAAAATATTAACTTTCGTAGTATTTACTGTGAGAAGAATATCAACATTAAAAATTCGGGAATTATTGATAACGGCACATTAAAAAGCGTAAAGTACGATAATAAAAAGTAATGTACCCCTTTCCTTTCTATCTCCTTTCCCCTATCTCATTTTAATTTGCAATTGACCACGGTTCAGGATAAAATTAGTTGATTTCCGAGTGTCTCTCTAGGATAGCTAATCAGAAACTCCATAGGCAATGCGACGTCGCGATTAATTTTTTCTAACCCAAGGGAGACATCGAGTGCAGATAGCGCACAGGTTCTATCCATGCTAGTACAATACCGCTTACGACGCAAATTTCCTCAGACGTGGTCCTCGATTATTCATACACAGAATCACGACGGCGCATCCAATCGAGACCACCTTTGATCAAAGATGCTCCTGTCTGACAAGACTTCAGCTTTCCGTCGAGCTCGGAAGGTGGGTGTGAAGGATTCACAATCGAAGAGAAATCGTATTCGGCTGCTTTTTCGTTTATGACACGGATCTAAATTTCTTTGGGGCGGTTTTTATATCTGTCACCAGAGGACAAGTTACAGGACAGATTTAAAAAATTGAGTGGCTGCAATACTGTCCGAACAGAATTCACGTGAAGACAACAAATTTTTGTTTTGACACTGAACATGTTATGACCGGTGAAATGATCGTTTTCAAACGTTTGTACAGAAGTTCTTATATATAATATATAAATTATACTGTGTGTCTCATTCTCGATGATAGTATTAGGTTGTCCCAAAAGTTTCTTCCATTTCATTAATAGGTAATACATACACGATATTTTATGTCTAATGTTACATTATTGAATTGCGTACGATTCATTTTGTTCCATTACTGTTACAACATTAACACCTAAGAAATTAGAATGTCTATTTATATAAACACTGCTACAGAAAATAACTGTGTGCAAGTCACGAAAGAAACTTTTGGGACAACCTAATACATTATAGTCAGGCGAATTTAGCAGTTGTTGGATAGTGTTTGTGTTGTTTTTGGCTAATTGTTCACGAGTAATAAGTGCATTGTGAGCTGACACATTATCGACATGGAGAATCCATTAATTGTCTTCCCACAATTCTGGTAGGTTTTTGCAGAAAATAATGTTGAACGTTTGCTTTCGTTAAAGAAGATTTACCATAGCATTTCTGCAATATTTCTAACATTTCGGCACGTTTACTTTCGTTTTTCACACAAAATTTGATGCAATCTCGTTGTTCAATGATATTTTTCATTGTAAAAATGCTGTGATGCAAGAAATGATTTTACAACAGATAAACAGCTACCAAGCAAAAACTAATCTTCAGATGTTGTTGAAGCTCAGGATTGATGTCAATGAAAGATGTACCAACGTGACAGAAACAAAATTATATATAGGATCGGACTTGCATGGGAAGTTTAAATTGAAAAGTCTCGAAAATGATTGAATAAGTTAGTATTATCCATATCCAATCGTATAAGGCAGAGTCATAAGTAGTCTTATCGACGAATTCTCTGGCGAACTTTGAATAAAATACTATGTTTCCTTCTTGTTCCGAATCTCTTTCTTTGCGTTGCTTTTACACAACCTATCTCCATCGCATCCAAGCTCTATTCTATCGAAAGTCCTCTGGCGAACTTAAAATAAAACGCTATATTTCCTTCCTGTTCCTGATCTCTTTTTCTTCATTCCTTTCACGCTACCTATTTGTATCGCTTTGGTGTCGAGTCAACCACAATATCTACTCAAAGATGACCGCAATTTCTTCTATTTCCGGCTCGCAAGAAAGTTAATCGTTGCACGACCAACCTTTCTTCGACGAGCGAATCAGCGTGACTATTAGACATCGAGAAACAGAGCGCGTAGATGCGCTTTTGCTGGGAATTTACTTACTCTGGAGCAGGATTTCTCCAGCGTTGCGTTCCAAACCACGCCATCAGGCATCGACCGCCCCTGGCCTGAAACATGCGAAGTACTCTATAAATTTCGGTCTTACGCATCGACTAAATGGGGATGAAGCAGTGGCGGATACAAGGGGGCCTTCTCTGCTAACTAAACCAGTATCTGTTAGGTGAATTTTCCACGGTCCGATGGATTCCTTTACTCTCTGATAAACCAAAGTGGAGGAGTCATCCGAATGTTTTTTAACAATTTTATTATTTCTTTCATTATTCCGTATTTTTACGGTTTTTGTTAGCTCTCTCCACCTCGAGCTCTTTTAAATTCGTCAGATAGGAGAAGCGGAACGTTAGGTACCCGAGAAAGTAAATCATTCCTAAAATTAATCACTTTTGAACTCGATATCAAAGTTTCTGATGCTGTTGAAGTATACAAGGTGTTCAGGCTATTACTAGCCAGCGTTTTTCTCGTAAATGGTATGACGAAAAACTGAAAGAGGAAAAAGTGATATTGTTTGTTATGTGCAATGTAACCAGGTAGATACATTTTTCGTATTTATACTCTTTTCTGAGAAATGAAGGTGACCTTCAGCTTTTTAAATGGAATGGTATATTTTTTGTACAAAAATATGGTGAGTATCGAATTCTAAATAAAAAAGTATTGACCTTTATTAGCCCTAAACCTCATAGGTAACGAGTAATTTCACTTTATTACTTGAAAATTTTCTGAACGTAATATCAAGATAATATCACCTTCGTTTCTCAGAAAATAGTACAAATACGAATACGTCTGTTTGAGAATTGCTGCAATAGAGGACTAATTATACCGATCAATTGATTTATTCTCCCCCGTTTTAATATCAAAGACACAATAGTAAATACAATAATAGAGGGAAGTGACCAAAGTCGCACTCCACCCCTTGTTTTGTTAATTAGTTGGTACTAACAAGTGACGACTATAGTAACTGCTTCAGATAAATGTCACGAAACACTGGAATTACGTTCATTCATGTGTTATTGAGCATTAGTGAGTAACACGTAGGTTTCCATATTTAAGATTTGTGAAATTATTTCTTCACGACTTCTTATCGATAAAATTTGATTTCTAAATTGGTAAATTGGTAAGTATTTATTTTTTACTTTTAGTTCGTAAAAATAAAGTAGAAGTAACAGTCAATATCCGTTATGAATTGTTTCTTAAAGGTAATAATAAACGACGACAAAGTTTTCAGTGATCCTCTAACTATCTAAATCTCATCAAAATCTGAGATGTTACTTCGAAAAATGTCCGAGTTGGCATAGAATGGCCCAGCTGACAGTGCTTTCCACTGAAGAAATAAACAAATTAATTCTGAAAGACAAGCACCAAAGAAGATAAATTTAAATAAAATTCACCAATTTTTATAAAGTTACAAAAATAAATACCACGATAAATATTCGATTATGTAGTCATCAATGGTCTAAATAATATTTAATCCTAGCAGAAATTTTCAAGAATATTTATCTCATAGTCATCGTGTTAAATAATTACAACAACAAACGAATATACCGATACTCACAAAATGAAAATATTTGTATGCGCCGCAAAATAATCGTTCGATTAAAGAAATTGAAATTCGTATGTTTAATAGTACCAAAAATAAAATTCCTTTTGCGAAGGTAGTTTATGTTTCAAAAGTACGCGAAGACGGATAACTTGAAAGTCTTGTATTTTCTAAAATACTTCGAAACCAGAAAACCGATGACAAACTTCCCTGTTTCTACATGATCTGGGATCGAACAGAAACGATCGATTCGGGGCGGAATAACCGGTAACGCGAGAGCAGAGTGCGTATCTCGCTAACAGCAGAGAAACAGCGCAGTCATTTGGCATGTTCGTAGGCCAATTCGATCGCGTCCCTCGAGACGAACGTTTACACTTATTATTATGTAAGCAGGGAGATGGCACCGCTAACTCTGCCTAGATCGTGCATATTCCAGCAAAGTGCTGCCACTCGAGACTCGCTCGCGTTTTTTTCCCAGCTGAATCCCTTCAACTACACTTACCCGATGCTGGAGAGTCGCCGAGCTCATTCCACCCTGCACCCACTCCCCTCTCGCCCTCGCCCGGTCCTTACTTGCTCAGCACAAAACAACGGGTTATATACCTTTACCTTCTTCCTGTTTATCTGTTGGACCGATGCGCAGCTGTTCTCGCTACTTCTCCGTGGCGTTCGACGAACAACGCGACTTGTTGCGAACGAACGCATCACTGCACGGAAAAGACTACATCCCCTCTATTACGCGAACACACGGTGTATACGTGTAATTATGGTTCGTCGCATTTCTACGCTTCTACTTAACCCTCTCGTGCCCGTACCTAGGTGCGGTGGCTTGCTTTTTCTTTTTATAAATGCGCATCGGCCGACTTTTGTCGCGAGCACGGCGCAAATGTAAACCAAGGATTCTTTAAGAATTGATGTAACCGTAAGGAAATATTATGGAGCTTTCGCGCAAACTAGGTATTTAACGAAGTGACGCTGGAAAGCTTTTTTAAATGATTCCACTTTTGCAGCTTTTTGTAGGCCATCTTCTGACTATGGCGAGGTGCAATATAGAATTGGTATATTAAAGGGTGTAAATAAAATTTGTATTGCAGAGCTCAAAGGGGCCTGGGATTTTCTGTTTTAATGACAAAATGCGTCTGTCAATGTAGACGTGAACCGTGTACTTTATTTAAAATAAAAGAATCAGATATATTCTATAGCATTTTGTGTTTTATTAAACATTACATGAAAAATTATACGTCACCGCGTATACCTGGCGTTGGAGCTACCGCGTATGTTTTACAGGAGAGACGGTCGATTCCAATCTAACCTGAAACTGCTTTCATTAATATCTCATCACGCCTGTAATATTTTTTTTAAATTTAAAGGCATTTTTCTTATCTAAACCGCATATAAACTTTCGAATAAAACCAAAATCAATAAAATCGGTCCACGTACAACTGAGATATCGTAATATCATGTTATGAATCTGCCAGAAACTGTATTTTTCGTATGATTATTCCTTAAGTCTTCCACTTTTTCATGTACTTGGCGTAATTTTTTTACTTGTTTGTATATATACAAATAATATATACTATACAATTTTGAACGTGGTGATTGGAAAGAATATTTGCCAAACTGGAAAATATTTTTGTATACAAGGTATCTTAACTCTGGAAGGATCAAAATTAAATACTAAATAACGTCAACCATTTAGCTTCTGGTTAAGTGATTCCTTTGTGATCTGCACAATTAAAATCATAAACGATTCAACATGTACTGAACAAATTTTAAACGCACGTAGGCATTATTCCAGTTCATGGGATCCTTTTATATTTTTGTACTTATTTCTATAAACAGATACCGCGATCTCTTTTTGTATTGGTTTATAGGTTTTGTCTGCAAATCAATAGATTGGCTAACGTATGCACTTTCAGGTAGAGCAGGCTCCAGTAATTTCGGTATACCTATAACAGATTAACCAGCGTAAGCAGTTTCAGATAGAGCAGACATGATTCATTATTTTGTGTTTTCAGTTGCGAGCCGTTTAATGGGTACGTCGAAAGGTAAGATAAATACACTGTTTGTAAAAAAAAAAGGAACTATGTGTCTAGACTATATAACTATATTATAATTATAAAATATATAGCATAGATTGTTGGTAGTAAGTTAAATAACTTAAACAAAACTTACTAATGCATTAACTTTTGTAATATGTATTGAAATGTAAATGTTGGATGAATGTTTATATTTAAACCATTAGGTATGTTTGTATGTTTTATAGATGTCAGTTATGTTTATCAATTTGTGTTAATAATTTATTAATCAATCATTCAATTTGTATTGCGATTTGATTCTGTCTGATATTTTGTGTATTGTCTTGGAATTTTGACAGTTTTCGCCAAACCTCTAAATAAATATCCTTACACTTTAAAATAATATGATTTATTTAACATACTAATAATAACAGTGGATAATATGTATGTGATTTAGATAGAATGTAGAGTCTTTGTATAAACGAAGAAATGGAATAAACTATGCAAGGTGTAGGTTCTACATCTGGACAAATTTCAAGATGAATTTTCTACCATACTTTCTTTCCTTTTCTTGAAAGAAAAATGTTCCTAGTTAACAATTTTTAACATCAACATGATCGACCTGGTCGAAACGATTTCGAAATACAACTAAAGATTTCGCGCAGGACGTTCGGTGACTAAGATCATTCAGTTATTTGGATACCCTAGATCGGTTGTTTACGATATGTTGGCTAAGTATTATACTTCTAAACGGTCGAAGAGTTTAGATGAGACTGCGTATCTTTATGCATTTATAAGAAATTTGAATGTGCAAGAACCTACAAAATGCAAACGATATGTAAAAATATAAAAAAGATTGAAAGTAAAATTCACGTTACAATATTTGCAGAATATAATAAGTTCCAATTTAGATTAAATTTTTGTAGGCACGTTCGTGAAGATTTTATTTTGCATAAACATCCACAGTCTACTGATGACCATTCAAAGGAACGCGTTACACAGACTTCGACAGCTATGAAAAGGGCTCAGGTGTTAATTTCGGAGAACCCAAAACAATCATTGAGAAAAATATCATCTTGGTTGGTATAAACGAACGAAAAATACATCAGATTACACAGGAGTCTCTGCGTTATAAGTCTTTTCTACTAAAAATAAAAATGGTTGTCGGACAACTTGGACACACTTTGGTCCAACGAGTTTCAGTTTCCCAATAACCCCTTCCTGAACCTCATTGATTACTATATTTCTACCGTCATCGAAAGAGTTACTAACAAGTAGAGATACCCTAGTGTGGAATCACTGCGCAATTTTATCGAGACAATATTTGCCAATATCGACAGGATTGCTTTACAGAGAACGTACACGCGCTTCAGATCTCGAATAGAGGGGATGATTGCGATCGAGGGTGGATAGATTGAGCAATTATACTCTAGAGAGGTCACACAACCGATATGCAAAAGAATTTTCTGTAATTAAAATTGCTTAAGATTGAAAATCT